CTGCATGGTTTATAAATGGGTGTTGGAATTTGATTGACATCTCTGAAATTTGATTGTTGAGCATTCCCGTTCACAAAATGTCTTAACCTTTAAATCATTCAAACAAAGGCAACCAAATAGTAGTAAATATTACAAATGGTCTAATGATTACAAAAGTTTGTAAATTGGAATGCTTTTGAATGAAAGAGGGTTCGTTGAGTTTAACCTGTAACAAATACAGTGCTAGAGGCTTCCACACCACCTTTCCTAATATGGTTGTTCAACATCTTTTAAAAGTCTGCATAGTACTTTAGAGTGCTCATGCCTATATCTCTATGTCTAGTTCCAGTGTTAAGAGAATATCCCTATAACGTAAAAGCAGATTTTATACAATCTGAGAGTGAGTCCTATCAAACCCAATGATATAGACACACACATAATGGCACCATTAATGTTTCAAACTGGTTGTTTTGCTTTTAATTGATAGTAAGAATAGATTTCTTTTTTGTGAAAGTTATTTTGGAGATTAATGAGTTTTTTGTTTGTGTCATTGAACCAAAAAGTATTGAAATAAGAATTTATGGAGATTAAAGTGCTTCTCATGTTACAGGAAATCGTGAAGAATGTACACATGGGTCTTGATCAAGAGAGAAAATATGGATGATGATGATGATGATGATGATGATGATGATGATAATAATAATAATAATGTGATGACAGATCCCAAATGTAGACTCTGCAAGGAAGCAGATGAAATAATAGATCATATCCTTAGCTGCTGCAAGAAGATCGTGCCGACAGACTACAAGCAGAGGCATAACACCATTGCTCAGATGATTCATTGGAACCTGTGCCACAAATACCATCTACCTGCGACAAAGAATTGGTGGGATCACAAGCCTGAAAAAGTTACAGAAAATGAACACATCAAACTACTCTGGGACTTCCGAATTCAGACAGACAGAGTTTTGGAGCACAAAGTATGGATCTTTGCTGTTTCAATCCCAGGCGACAGTAGAATTGAAGAGAAACAACTAGAAAAGCTGACATGGTATAAGGATTTAAAGATCGAACTGCAAAGACTCTGGCACAAGCCAGTAAAGGTGGTCCCAGTGGTGAACGGCACACTGGGTGCAGTACCTAATGATTTTTGCCTGCACTTAAACACAATCAGCACTGACAAAATTACCAGCTGCCATCTGCAAAAGGCCACCTTACTGGGATCTGCACACATTATTCGCCAATACATCACACAGTTCTAGACACATGGGAAGTGGCCAATGTGTGATCCAATACAACAGCCAGCAGAGTCATCTTATTTGCTGTGGACCCATCTTGCTGTGTTTCAAATAAATAATAATAATAATAATAATAATAATAATAATAATCTTTATTTATAACTCGCCCTGTCTCCCCGAAGGGGAGAAATGGCACACATTCAATGCCATGATATATCAGACAAACAATAAACCAAATCAAAGCAATGAGTAAACCAAAATAAATATAAACTTATAATAACTAACCAAAAAAAGTACCTTACCAAATGTAATATAATAATAATTTTAATAATAATAATAATAATAATAAATGTAAAATATAGGAGAAATTGTTGCCACTATTTTTGCTTCTTTTCCTGTATTCCTCCTATATGGTTTCTGAGTTTTGAATATATAAAAAGCTATTGAAGTGTCTCAGAATCATAGAACTCTTGATTAAAATCTTGCTTGATTTTTTGTATATATTAATCGGCTCCAGAGACACATACTAATTGCCTTATTGTTTCAATCTTCCTTTTCAGTACTAGAATAATTTCATGTTTATCTCATAGGTGGGATTTTAACTCAAAAATAAAATCATTCCATTTAAATGATAATAAAACCTCTATTCTCTGTCCACCATAAATCAAGCACCTACAATGTGGCACAAAGATACCACATACCCAATATATCTGGCACATATTCTAATACACAGGCTGCACATCAAAACACAATTTATACCCAGCCAGTCTTTAAGCATGAATTTTAAACTCATGCCATGTGTTTTGGTCTCTGTCCTGTGTGATTAATATGTATTTTTACAGAAATGCTTTGATCTGTACCTTTTATGGAACTAAATTTTAATGTGTGTTTGTAGAATGGTTATAGTATTTGTGATTTTAACTGTGCTGTGACCTGCCTCAAGCCGTGGGGAGAGGCGGGCAAGAAAGAAAGTTGTTATTGTTATTATACCAATCTGTGTCATATTATCAAGGAATAAATCATGTGTAAAAGGGAAAGTACATCTGACTAAGACTTAGAAAATATTAACTATCCTAACTATCCTAACAGATAGAGTACACTATAGTTGGCCCTCCACACCCACAGATTCTGTGTCCATGGAATCAGTCATTCACAGCTTGAATATACTTTTTTTTGAATTCCAAAGACATACCTTGATTTTGCCATTTTATATAATGAACACCATTTTACTATGCCACTGTACATAATGGGACTTGAATGTCCATGGATTTTGGTCCCCATGGGGTGGGGTGGAGACTGAAACCAAACCTTATTGGATACAAAAAACATATTTTAATGATTTTTTTAAAAAAAATTGCTATTGCTGCCTATTAAACAGTCAATGACTTAAAATGTTAAGTACTAAAAATGTAACCTTAGTTGAAGTTTAAATATTAGAGTAGTTATATGTCCAATTTCAGAGGAACAGTCCAGTATCTGAAACTGTACCAGATGTCCCTCCTCTGAATGCATTCTCTGTTCCACAGCTGTATGTAGTCCAAGTCAATTTTAAAGACAAAGAACTAGAAGTAGGGTGACTAGGGACTGTGTTGTCCACTAACATTTTCCACTTGGACAGTAGGCTAAGACAGGTATGCAAGTTCCTGGCCCAGGAGCTTCCCACTGTAGTTTTACAATATACTGAACCATGAATGAGCAGTGGTGGATGCTCAGGTATGGATGGCCTCAGCATGTTATTAAATTCATTCTTCATAACAGTAATTCTCCAAGGTCTGCCTAAATGTGTGCCTGTACATTTACATCTGATTCCATATTGGACTTCTTGTTTGGTGATAGATTTCCCCCATTCTTGTCATGTGCAAATGGTCACTGTTAGATACTTAAGACCCTGATGTGATAACAATTAGGCAGGCTAGGCCTATCCTTTAAAATAACTAGGTAAGATAGATGCACACTAATCCTCCCTGTGCCTTCTGGGGATGAACCTTTAGAAAGGATTAACAGGATAATGAAAGTGAAATGCTGTGGACACTTAGAATATGCTAAATAGGGATTAATACTGTATAGTTATATTTATGAGCTTCTGGGGAGTTATGGAGGAAACCAGAGCACAGATGTAGTATGTATACTTTGTATGCAAAAGGTCCCACATTCAGTCTTTGATTTATCTAGTTAATCCCAATTTAAAAATTATCCCCAGGTAAAGTATTTCAGGTAGCCAGACTGAGTCCAAACCTTGATAGCTATCCTGGCAAATAGGTAGTTTGAATAGACATATCAGTGTTCTCACTTATTGGGAGGAAGCTTCATATCTGTAAAATGTTTCCTTTAAAAAATATCTCATAGTTTTTTTAAAAATAAATTCATAGGGAAAATGTTCGTGTTCATATTGAATAGTATGGTCAGCTCAGGAATGGCAAAGCGGCAATTTTCACCCTCCTGGACTGTCTGCCAACTGAATTGGGTTACAATTAAAAGGGGGAGGGGATTGACACCTGATGTGATTTCCAGTTTACTTTGCTATTTCATTTCTTCTTGGGTAAGGAAGAGTTCTGGGGTCATACTTTGTAAGGTGCATACACTGGAAGTAACTCTTTTTTCCCTCTGAACATATTACTTGGTGGCTTAATCAGAGCACTATCTGTAAGACGCTCTAGATTTTAGTGAGTCAAGTGAAGCTGCAGAGCAGTCCTCCACAAAAATATGTTTTTGTGTCAGCACCTCCAGAAGCAAGAGACTGATTTTTTTTTCTGGGCAAAAGAAAAGAGTGAATTCTTACTTCTGGGAGCTCCACATTCAACAACTCACTTTTTCATTCACTTTTGATGCCTTCCTATACAAGCAAAAAAAAAAAACCTGCCTATTTTTTTTTCTTGAGATCTCCAGAGAAAGACTCCATTGCCTCTTTACTTAATTGCTTCTTGGGGTTCATTTTACAAGCACGCTGGCTCTGAAAAACTCCAAAGAGACATGCAGAGATTGAGGGCAAGATCAGAGATCATTTATTGCTCCATTGACCAAAGAAGAATGTCAGGGGAAAACTTCCCAAATCCAACATAAACATGGACATTTTAGAGACATTTGAAAGAACAGATATTTGCAGTAATTGTTACAAATTACGATCCACAATCTTATCGGTTTAAACATACATTCATAGTTGTAAGGTTACAGTCTGTGATTGGTGCACACAGTATGGTAAAAAAACTTAATAGCTTTTATTGAAAACAAACGAGTCCATCTTCTATATCCGCACCGCTCCTTCCTGACTGTGGAGAGTTCATCAATCTGGATTGGGATTATTTTGGATCTGCTGATTTGTATTCGCTGCCAGAGGGAAAGATTCCCTTGATAAGATAATGGATTGCTATTCCAAACTGATAGATTCAATTTTCCAAGGGAGAAGTATATTGTGTAGAGAGTAGGATTGGGGTGCTCCCAGTGCATACTTTGCCAGAGGCCTTAGGTGCAGCCTTCTTGGAATTCATTAATTATAAAAAAAAAGCATGAGGAGTTGTCAGTGTGGCTTAGCTACTGGTCATTCTCCTGACTTTCATAGCCAAGCAGAGTAATTGTAGATCATTCCCAAACATCAACACTTTTGGGTCCCTGTTTCAGCTAACAGTTCCATTTCCATACTCCTCTTACCATCAAGAAGTTCCTTATAAGGTTCAACTGAAATCGGTCTTCATTACAGAAAAGTTGTTTTGGCCCACTTTCATTTCCCAGTGTCAGTTGGTTTATAATGTCCTTTTAGTACCATTGTATTTTTTTATTATTTTTCAGAGATCATCTATAGCTGGGTATTTAATGAGTTCCCCTCCTTTGTTGCTGAAGACAGCCGGCGCTTCATCTCTCAAGAAACAGGCAATCTCTACATATCCAAAGTACAGCCCTCTGATGTAGGAAGCTATATCTGCTTGGTGAAGAACACAGTGACCAATGCCAGAGTCCTCAGTCCTCCCACACCACTAACACTCCGAACTGATGGTAAGCAAGGTTTGTCTTCATCTTGAAATATATTTATGGGCATTTTAACAGAGGGGTGGCTATGCAGTTAAATAGTGACAAAGATTTTGATGGTGTCATGGTCTACTGCAACACTCTTAAAGAGGGAGGTCTCTGATCTTCATAAATTCCAGTTGAATGCAGCAACATGATGCAGATAATATGGCAACATGTGTCAGTCAACTAATTTATTGAGTAAACTCACTGATGTTTCCTATATTTCCTGATTCATGCTGCAATTAACCACATGTTTAATGTTAGTTATTTTTAAAACATTATGAGAGAAAAGTTATATTTGAAAGAAATGCATTACATGGCCCTAAGGTTAGACAGTAGAAGAATAGATAGGAAGGGAGCAATAGTCCTGCTATAAAGGTACTAATAACTAAATCTGACCACTGAGTCAAACAGTGACAAACTCAGTACTATTATCTATAAATCTATTTCAAAACTAACAGTAATTAAATGATTTAAAGTTTTAGTTTTGCTGGTAAGGACTTAATTTCTGAATATTGAATAGTTACATTGTTAAATTAGCTCTGGTCATCACCAACAATTTAAATTGGCCCAGAAGTGGGCTGGAGTGCAATGAATGCAACAGCCAAGGTCCTGTATCATTAGGTCAGAGCATAATGCCCCTCCACACAATTCCATTTCACTTCTGTCCCAGGGCACACAACAACCATATCTACATGAGCAGAGGCGGCCCTAGGTAATTTTCAATGGTAAGCAAACAGCATTTTGGCGCCCCCCCCCCAAACCAATTATTGAAAAATTATATATATATATATTGCTATATAATATATATTATATATATTATTGTTATATATACTACATACTATGTAATGTCCTACTGGACTGTTTGGATTGTGGGAGTTGGAAGTAGCCACAAAAAAAACACAATGGAGGAGCCTGATAGTGGAGAACATGCCATCCATACAACAACAACACAACACCACACTAGCTGGTCCACTGCCACGCCATTGCTGTGGCCCCACGTCTGGTATATGGAAATAAAGTAATGAAATAAGTGTTAGGGTTCTAATAGATTAATCGTCTTGAAGAAATGCTTAGTAGCAAGGTGGAAAAACAGAGAATCATTACCTTGTGTTCTTTGTCAGTAGCTGGAGATCCAACGAAGTGTAGAGATTGATTCTGAGTCCTTAATGGAGGAGGCATAAAATACAGTGGCACAGGCATCCTAGAGAGCGTATTTTTCTTTACTCCGTGAGGTACATCAGGCAGATCCTTTTTGGAAATCAATATTATATCTGTCAAAAGTTACAATAGGCTGTAATGGACATCTTTGTCAGAGGGCTATTTGATTATGTGTGTTACTCTGCCCTCTGTGTGTCTAAAGGCATACCGGGAGACGGGATGGCCTTATAAAAACGGCCGCAGTTATTCTACAAACACTGGGTCGTGGAATCACCGAACATGGCGGAGTGCAAGCGGGACTATGGTGATCAGAAATCACGGGTCGCCAACGAAACCACCAGCGAAAAACAAACCAGTATTTCTGATTTCCGGGTCAATGGACTATGTTGTACCTTAGCGGGTGGACAAAACACAGGAACCACCACAACTGGCATACTGTGGCCCAATATTCTATCTTTGTTTGATGTAAAACAGATGCTTTTGAGTGCTACTAGTAAATTCCCCCTCGATGGACTGTCACCTTGTCGTGGTGAGGGGGCTTGCGTGTTCCGATGAACCTGTAGGCACAACAACTGGAGTCGTGCACTCCCAGGAGTGGCTGCGGGGGAGGTCCCAGACCAAGCACAGTCCGAAGACCCAAAGACCTCAACGGCGGAGCAGGCGGAGGATAACATGGCACATGTTACAACGGCTGCGAAGGCGGAAGAAGGCTGCAACAGACTGAGAAGCCACGGCCATTGTGTTAAACTACATCACCAGTGGAACCTCACTCTGTGAAGTCTGTGTGTTGATCAGTTGTGCACTGACCTCCACACATTAAAAAAACCCACGCACAGGCGTCTTCCAAAGAAAATAAAAACAAACCAACAAAGTCCCATGGCGATCAGCGAGTGGCGACGGGGGCAGGACTGTGAAATCTGGAAGCCCCTAGTCACAGACTGGCACATGGGCGGTGGGTACGGACTCAGTCGTTCTACCTCAAGGTCCGAGGCAGTTGAATAGTTCGGCAGCTGTATCCGCGACTGAGCAGCCCTTTTGAGGACCCACTCTGCTCACCCCACATGGGGAGGGGGCTAGAAAAGGTGCCCTAAACATAGTCTGCCTCACTTATCCCTGACTGGACTGCCGCGTCCAGTGGGGTCACCACCCTGCGGCCAAAAAAGGAAAATGAACTTCGGTATGTGGAACGTACGGACTCTGATGGACAACAGTGGCAGTGAACGCCCCGAACGCAGAACTGCCATCATTGCAAGGGAGCTGGGACGCTTCAACATCGACATAGCAGCCCTTCAGGAGACCCGGAGAGCAGGAGAGGGACAGCTGAAGGAAGAAAAAGGAGGCTACACCTTCTTCTGGAAGGGACTGCCCGAAAAGACCAAAGAATGCACGGAGTTGGCTTTGCCATCAGAAATGATCTGGTGAAACATCTGACCGAAGCACCCACTGGCATCAACGAACGACTCTCAACCCTCCGAATTGATCTTGCCAAAAACCAACAGGCAACCATCATAAGTGCCTATGCACCAACACTAGATGCTGATGAAGACATCAAGGAGAAATTCTACTGTCAGCTGGACACTGTCCTATCGGGGATACCTAAGGAGGACAAAATCATCCTCCTGGGGGACTTCAATGCAAGAGTCGGGCGAGACTTCGACCTGTGGCCAAGGACCATAGGAAAAGACGGGGTTGGAAACAGCAACTCAAATGGCATCCTGCTTCTCACCAAATGTGCGGAGCACAACCTTGTCATCACCAACACGCTCTTCCGCCAGAAAAACAAGTTCAAGACATCATGGAAGCACCCCCGGTCAAAGCATTGGCACCTCTTAGACTATGTAATCACACGTGCCAGAGACCGCCATGATGTGCTCCTCACAAGAGCCATGACAGGTGCTGACGACTGCTGGACTGACCACAGACTAAGAGGGACAAGAGAACTCAAGAACATCTGGTGGACAAAGAAGGCCGAAGAAATCCAACACCTGGCAGATACCCATAATGCTCAGGGATTTTTCAAAGACACAAAGGTCATCTACGGACCAAGAAACCATGGCATACAGCCTCTACGCTCATCAGATGGAACCAAACTCCTGAAGGACCAAAACTCAATTGCACTACGTTGGAAAGAACACTACCAAAGCCTCCTGAACCACAGCTCCAATGTGGCCGAAGAGGTCCTCTCACAAATCCTGCAACAACAAACCAGGGATGAGCTTGCAGCACTGCCTAGTTTGGAAGAAGTCAGCAATGCCATCAGCCAACAAAAGAATAACAAAGCCAGTGGACCAGATGGGATCCCTGCTGAAATCTTTAAAGAGGGAGGACCTGAGCTGACACACCAACTCCACCAGCTGATAGAAAAAGTGTGGGTGACCGAGAAAATCCCAGCAGATTTCAAGGACGCCACCATCATCACCCTCTTCAAAAAAGGGGAAAGAACAGACTGCGGAAACTATCGGACGCCACGGATTGCTGAGCTCTCGCTCAGCAAACTGTCCTTGCTACACGCTGAGGTTGAGCGAAGCTCTCCCCACAAGGATTGGAGGTCCTCGTGGTGCCAACCCACAGGGACACGTCTCAGTTGAAGGACTCTTTCCTCATGTCGAGGGGGAGACCCCCACAGCGATGAACCCGAGGGAAGCAAGCACGGCAAGGAGCACCGAACTTGGTGAGGACGCCAACCCCCATTTTAACTGAAAGAGAAAGAGGCAAAGGAGAAAGAAAAGAGAGAAAAGGGTTATAAGCGACACAGATACTTAATGTAAGAAAACAGCAAGAGAATACCATCTCCCCGCCCCCGCTTCCCGCTCGGAGTGCAGGGAGAAGGGCACGGTGCTTAGAGGTCAGATTACAAGAATAGAAGACGCCGGAAAGACGAAAGAAACAAATGAAAGGATGCGGGGAGCGAGCCCAAGAGGGTGAAAGATTAAGTGAGTGAAAGTAAGTTGAAAGACTGTCTTAGTTTAACCCTGCAGCAGCATTGATATTTGCCCATTAGCTGCCCTAGTGGAAAGTTTGGCATCGCAGGAGTTGTCCACCAGTTGGGCATAAAGAGAAGAAGCTTTGGGCTTTGTGGAAATGTGTGGTGAGAGCAACTTGAATTTGAAAATTGGAAACAAGTAGGCAGAATGCCACAGAATCGGGGAACAAAGTGAGAACAATACAAACTGCTTAACTGCATATAAGGCAAAACAAGCCGGGTCAAGCCAAGTCGAGAAGCCTTGCAGCGTGGAGAGAAAGCGGACACAGAGCCATCCCAGGTCGGGTCTAGTGGCAGGAAAAGGAGGAGAGAAGGGGCCTGGCCTAACACGAAGGGGGGCGACGCACGGACGCCGTGACGGGACGATGTGGGTGCGCTGGAGCGCCAAGGTGCCGTGACGTTGTGACGTATACCAGCGGCGCCCGGACGTCAAGGCGGAAGAAAACAAAGAAGCGGAGAAGTGAGGCTGGGACCAGCACAATTCAGCATTGAGAGAAGGGGAGTGGCGGGGGGAGAGGGGGGGGGGGGGGGGGGGGGGGGGGAGAGAGAGAGGAGACAATTGAAGAGAAAGACATCTCCGATCAAAGAAACCCAAGAGGTAACATACTTATAGGAGGGAGGGAAGGTCCGGGGATTGGGGGGGGGGAGGGAGAGGCAGCGGAAGGGGGAGCAGATGTAAAGGAAGAACCTGGACAGCAGAACACTGACAAGAAGAATAGATATTAAGAATAGACATTAAGACTAAGAGAGAAAAACAAAAAACTAACCACGAACTGGAATGCCAATCACTCGGACATACGCCCTGAGTCGGCCTCCTTCTTATTTGTCTTCCCTCTTCCCATTCCGAACA